CTCACACAATTTGTACTCCACGTAAGTTGCCCTAAAATTTCGTATTCCATTCCTTTAAACCATGGTTTTGTATTGGAAAATACATTTGTGTGCTATTTGCTGCTACTTTGGTCCTATTCCTTAATGGATACCACTGCGTATGAGCAACTTTTGTTGTGGAGATATCCCTAGATGTACATAGAATGTACTTAATACATACTTGTGTATGTATTATGGTCTTCATTACCATCTACCAGGAGTAGTCGAAAGCAAGCTCTTGCGGGATAGCAAGGTTACATATATCCTCTATTTCGTTTCACCGATCTGACTTTGTAAATATTTTCCATGCGAAAATATCCGGAATATGAAGGCCCTTAATTCTCAAATAGTGTGGCATTGCATGATGGTGTCACGCTCGAGGATTGCGTTGGATGAGTTACTGTCCATTGGAATATTCACGCCATCAACCGGGCAAGCGTTGAGTTCGAGAAGAGTTCACTATGATTTGCACTTCAGACGAATGGCTTGAACATATCGAAGCGCTCACAATTTGTTGAATTTATGCCTGGTGATTGGCCGAAGTTTAAAATCAGTTCAGAAATATGTTTTTTACCTGAGAAGTAATTGGGAACATCAGAAAAGTGGTCTATCGTGGATTCAAAATTTTTAATTCGGTGCAGTTTTAAAAAAATCTGGCTAGCGTGGTATTGTTGGGTCAAATCCCTATGGTAAATGAACTGAGCCATTATAGAATCTTACCTTTTTTAAAGATTTAACTAAAATACTACCGCTTTCTACAATCAAATTCGAAGATCGCATGAAAAAGTTTAATGTAAAACAATTTTCTAAACAGAAGTGAATGAGTAAGTATGTGGTTTTGTTTTTTTTTTCTAGCGAAATTCTAGAATATCCAAGCAATTAAGTTTAAATATTATAGCTTTTCATTAGACCCCTTATCAAGGAAATATCCTACTTTCTCGGGCACAAATTGATAAATTTTAACTTCCGTACACTTGGAATCAAACAATATTTTGGGAATCAGAGTTAAGCGCCACTTCCCAACGCCATTATAATGCTAAGTCATTTATTACTCAACTTAAAGCAAAATCGCAATTTAAACTACTCAAATACTTCCATAATCAAATACAGTGCACGCCATTGGGCTCGCAAAGCGCCGCTGTTTTGCTATCGAAACTTTTGCATGGACCGAAAGACAACAAACAATTACCAAAGTAGAGCAGAAGTTGGTTCAAAAACACTCAAAACAACGAAGCGCAGATGGTCTGATCAGTAGTCGCTCCCAGCTGCCGTTGGTTGTAAGTGGCGGATATACATACATACATACACACGCATATGCTTGTAGCTTGATGTACATACGCATGTATGTAGCCCTTAACCGAAGACAAGCAAATAAATGCAAACTTCAAGGAGTACCAACGACAATAAATACAAGCCCTGCAAGACAAAGTGCGGCGAGTAGTTGCTTCCGTTTTAAGGAAATGTGGTGGGAAAAAGGGTTTAAGGATAGCAGCTGTGTTTCTTTTGATTTCAAGTAGTTATAAATGTGAATTTACATTGGCGCTTTTGCAGCCATAACTTAGCGCCGATTTTGATTTTACTTTTCTATATGCACTCGACTGCAAATTGGTATAAAATATCCGTGTATGTTCTACACGAAAAAAGTGCCTTAAGTGGCCAGAAGGCTTCGCTGCAATCCAAATAAAAGATCTATGTTTCCCCCGGAAAAGAGTTTCGACAACAAAAATGCGGACAAATTTCAGTCATTCATTAATAAGAGAAGCAAACACGACTGTCGTTCTACTCAGAAACAAAAAACTCCATATGCAGCTCGTAACGTATACGCCATGCAGAACCCTCATTCCACACTACGCAGCTATCAGCAGCGCGTCGCCTTGTTGTTCACTTGTGTTGCCACAAAGGGTTGTTACCAGTGTTAGTTTCCCATTGTTATTTTAACTATTATTGTTTCCTCACCTGTTTGCTGTTGTTGTTGTTGTTGCTTGTCTATGGCCACAACATTGCGTGTTTGTGTCAGCTGTATCTGCAACATTGTTGGCAACTGTTCAAATTTTAAACGATACTTGAGTGTTTCTGTTTATGTTGTTGTTGTTGTTGACGCTGGTTGGAAGTGGTGTGCTATAAATGCGCACGACAAACAACAACACGTCCTGTATGTATGTATGTGTATATGTATGTATGTCAATGCGACTTCAGTTGCGACTTTATTGTAGCGGAAAAGTAAATTAAGTAAAGCTTTTGATGAACTTAAATGAAACTAATTGCGTTAAAAAATGCAAATGTGTTGAACTATCTAGTTTGTTAAACATTTTTGCGATGAAATGAACTTTTGAAAAATTTTGTAACGGTTGAATTTCTTGGACTTTTTGTACGTATTATATTTCTTACCCAAAATTATTATAAAACTGGTAAATTTCGATTTCACTATGGGTACCTACGTAGATAGATGATGGACAGATATTTAAATGAGATTTGCTTTGCAGAGCGACCTGTAGATTTTTTGTGCCCTTTACTCTTCACAACACTTCTTCTCAAAAAGTTCTCCAACCACAGAAGATAGAGAAGTTGCTAATTTACGTAGTTCCGAAAACGGATTAGGACAAATATTCAATCCCTGGTGCGTGAACTAAGGAGCTTTTTGATGGGAATACCTATTTTATAATTCTAATTGATCCAATTCGAGGTGACTGCGACGTTAATTCAGGGTCCTCCAACTTTAGAGCTTTTATCGTTTTTTTTTCAGAATTAGGTTGGTTGCTATGACGAATTTCAAGCGCGAAAAGGGAGGAATGCTATGCTGTTGTTGTTTAAATTTTGTCGGTAATTTCGACAAAAGTTTCCGACTTGTGATGTAATGCCAATTCCTTGATGACAATCTGGCGGAATAAAAGGTCCAATTTAAGAGGGCTTCCAATTCTTGAGTTAAATTTGCCTCTTTGCTTTGACATTCTGAGCCTGGTCCACTCTTGCTTGACAAGGTAGAAGGTAACTGGTAAAATGTTGAATAACAGGTGGGTTCATCTCAATGCTGGAGACTATTGAGTTTGAATTTGTTTTGGGAATGATTTTCAACTTAATGAAGATGGTTTCGAGCTCTGATTTAACGACTGCTCGACCGGCCAGTTCGGATAAATCTTGACTAACTCATGCTTAACTACTACTCCTGTTCCACTGTGGAATAAGGAACTTCAGAAGCTGAAAAAAAGGATTCTCAACTGAGCATTCAACACTGTTGCTGTCTTATTCTCTGATGTTGTTGTTGTGCAATCTGCACTACCAACATGTTTACATATACAGCGTACGCGTAAGCTATTATTTGTGTATGTAAATTAAGTGGTCTTGCCATCAGCAACGGTTTTTCCGCCCCAATACCTAACAGTTGGCGCAATACAATATTCTTAAATGCATCAATAACAAGTTGGAATCAAACCAACTGATTGACGGAGTGACTAAACGAACACAAATTTTGTGTGCGACTCTAAGATGGCGCAGCTGTTGGCAACCGCACCGCTTGTAACTTGTTACATTGATTGTGTGTGTGTTGTCGTTGCTGTTGATGGCTTCATTTGTGGCAGCTCTTATGCAAACCGACGTAACGTAGACTTCTGTGGCCTGCGGCTGCGGAATGCAACAAAACCACCTCGCGCAGATATCAACGGCAGTTAGGGATTTCCCAAATGATGAGCGCTCACAGAGACGTGCGACAGTGAGTGACAGTAGTGTTGAATATGCAAATGTGTGTGCCCGGACATGTTTAGCAAGGGTAAAGGCAGGCAGGCAGGCGCGCTTGAGTCGTCGCTTCCATGTCTTCAGGGTGCATTTGATTACTGGCGTCTATGGCTATGCAAAATGCCACACATGGCGCATGTGCAAATGCAACTGGCTGACATACAAACATAGCCGCATGAACACGCACACAAACACACATACATACTTACATATACCATTACAAATAGGCTTATAATTGCAAGCAGCTTCTTTGGTTGTGATTTAATTTGATTAATTGTCATCTATGGGTAATCGGTTTTAGATTAGAATAAATTTTGTCATCCGTCGAAAGTCGCAGATGTCAAAGTTTATTTAATTAGGTGATTTGGATTATTAGAAAACTTTTAAAGCTTTTACTAATTTACGTACATAAAATGCGATGATTTTAGTTTTTCTTGCGAGTCGGTTTCGTTTCTTATCTTCAATGAAGGGAGACCAAAAATGCAGGGGTGCTTGATTATCTCAACCGATTTCAAGGCAACACTATACGCTATTAAAATCCAAAACGCACACATAAAATTTGTATGCCGCTTTGCTAAAGTCAAATTCGTTATCTTACTTTCTAGAACAACATTTTGTATGACTTTGCCAAATTTTTGTGTTTCAGTGTTGGTCAGGAAAATATGTTTATTTCTGATTTTTATTTTTAAAGTGTATAATTTGTTTTTTTGATATTTTGCTTAGCGAGGAATTGATTTCAATTTTTTTGTAACTTTTTTCCGGATATTTGTCGGGGCTTTCGTCGGATTTCGGAATTTTTAGATATAATATCCGAGTGCTTTCGGTATTCTTGGGATTTGGTAGACCTTTTTTCGAGGTCTTTCTGGAACTTTTCCGGATTTCCGGATTTCTCGCGATTTTGTTAGAACTGTTTGGCAAATTTTCCAGATTTCTTCAAGACCATTTGGTATTTTCATTAAATTTCGGAGACCTTTTTGAACGATTCCTGAAGTATCCTCTCCTTTCTTCTTGGGATAAAAAATTATATCTCTAATTACATCAGTTCCAAATCACATATTTATGTTACTCAGAGCAAAGCTAAGCTAAAATGTTTACCTATATATATAAGTATGTATATATTTATGAAAGAACTCTTCACTATGAAACCTATGAATATACATATGTATGTATGCATATCACTTTATATATTAATAGCTGATTTTATCGTAAAATTCTTGAACGACACTTTTTTCCTTTTTTATTTGAATTCACAGATAACTTTCATCTCACTCCACCCAGAAAGCACTTGAGTCGACTTGAGTGATTGTGATTGCCATTCAAGTGCCACTCAAAGCGCCGCAGAAATAATAGAAACGTTGAAGTGTGAAGCAGGGAAGGCATCGAAGCCAAAGCTGGCGTAGCAGAAAAGCGAAGATATTCAATCGGAATGATATAAAAGGCTTACACATACGAGGACATATGCACTCAGAGTAATAAATCATGCCTGTAAAAATCCACAAAAGCAACAGCAATTCGAATATGAATGACATTCCAATGCAACACAGAGCATACGCAGCAAGCGAGGCAGAGATAAGACAGCAATTCAAATGTTTTATAGATGTCACTACAACCACACTACCACAAAGAACAGCATCGACACCGACTATTGCAGTCGAACTCATATCACCGAATAATTGAAAAATATTTTTTGGCAGACAAACAAAAACTATGTGACACCAACAAATGGAATATCGAAGAAGATAGAACCACCAGAAAAGCTGGTTTTGAGCAAAAAAAAAAAGAACCACTATAATAACCACAATAGCAACAAAATGCTAAATCCAAAGGGACAGAGTGCTGAAACTTCATAGGATCGGCCATAAGTTAAGGATAAGCATAAAGAAGATATAATGGAAGAAGAAACAGTGGATGAGCAAGGGAATGGAAACGGGAAAGTTCTTTTACAAGATGCGTCGAAAGCTTGGGACAGTAAGGAAGGCCAGGCGCTTCCAAAGAAAGTTGTAAGTGATGATATTATTCCACCCGGGACGGTTATCGCTGAGGAGACAGATTCGTTGGTTGGAGTGTTGAAAGGACCAGCAGGCGAGAGCGCTACAGCTATGAGAAATGCACCCGAACAAAGCACACCCGAAGAGCAGCCGGACGACGTGTTCGAAGCTGAAGACAGCCCCACGCCCCGACCTCTGGCAATGGTCGACAAAGCGGTCAGCACGAACGACACCCTCGAGGACTTGCAGCGCGCACTCACCTATGAAGTAATTTTCACAACACTGCTGCAGAAGAAAATAATGGCCATCAAGCGAGAGTGTGAAGAGCGCAAACGGGCAAAGCGCATGAAACGCAAATCGATTGGCCGCATATTCTTCAGCCGTAAGCTATTTGGCGGTTCGCGGAAAGTGCGTGGCGACAGCGAACCCGACGTATTCATGCGTGGCGATCTGGGAGCAATGATCGCTTCACCAATGACTTTTCGTAGCCCAAAGACTGCCAGAAAGCCGAGTGGACGTAGCGGACAAAGCGGACGTCAGGTCGGCGATGATATCGAAGTTGTCTCTGCCTCAGCGTCTACATCAAATGGCAGTCAGCGTTCGCAGATGACACGTGCGACACTAACGAAAACACAGAAGGTAAAAACCCGGCTTAGCACAGACCCCCACACCCAAGGTGCGGCCGCCGGACAGCCTGCAGAAGAAAGCGTCACCAGTACGCTCAGCAACTCCTCGGACAAGAATGATGTGAGTGGTGCTGGTCAGGCTGTCATGAAGCGCAGTTTATTGGTACGCGCTCAGACGCACACACCAGCTGAGGTGATGACGTCCAGTTCGGGCTCTGGCGACTCGAAAGGGGCAGCGGGTCGCAGACGTTCAGTTTCAGTTATAAATGGCAACGGAAATGGTGGCGGAGTAGGTGGACTGCCCGCCTCTTTGTTGGAGCGCACCTACGACACCACCTCACTTGCCAGCGGGTACGAAAATGGCACCGGTGCTCGTCTACACACCTCGACTATGGCCGATGACAGTCTCACCTCGTTGCGCGACAGCATTGAGAGCTTATCATTTGGCAGCTCACGTTGCACGGTGAGTTTTGGCGGCGCCGAAATCATACCGGAGGAAACTGCCTCGCTCTTGTACGAACGCGCTCGCATCGCCAAACGTTTGCGTGTACTGGAAGCAAAGTCAATTAGCGCGCAGTGCAGTCCCGTACTGCCACGTCATTTGATCGGGACCATACAAGCACCGGAGCCCATGCCTCCGCCAGCGCAAACTACAACCAGAATTGAGGCCTCCACCGCCACTAAACACATAATCACGCCCACCACTGCCGTTCCTTACACCGCGTCGTCCAAAGCTGCCACTCTTACCGCCGTCGGTAGCGACATTCCAACGGTCCCCACCAGCAACAAAATTACCCAGACAAAACAACACATCTTTCGCCACCAAGTGTCTTATACGGACAGCGCTTACGGTGGAGGAGGCGACTTTGGCGAAGCGTCAGCCTATTCGCGGTACATCTCACGACAGAACACTTCCGAGGAGAGTGCAAATTTGACTGTCAGCACATTGTTGAACCAGAGCGACTCATTGTCGTTGCACGCGCCAATATACTCGCCAACCACTTCGTTCACCGGTGGCGGTGTCGGCGGTGCAGGCGTTTTCATGCTGGGTGATCGCTTCAAATCGAAGAGCACAAGTCTGTTATTGGTCAGTGGTAATGGCCGCAGTCGTCCACGGCCACCGCCAACGCTACAACTACAACAACTGCAAACGCCGTTCGCGCCCATGCCGGCCAACGGCAGCATCTTGGCGAGTGGGACAATGCCGAGCAATATTAGTCATAGTGATCAATTAGTAGATAGTTTGAATATGAAAAATACATTCGCTTCCTCTGGCACCGTACAGCCAGTAACGGTATCTAACGCACAAAAGCAAACGCCCTTGCACCCCACGACTATCGCTACTACGACTGTTGTCAACGCAACCGCCATGTCTTCACAGCTAGCATCGCCTCCTCCTCCTACGCTTTACCATGCCACCAGCGCTACGGGCGGCACGTCGGAAATCACCACGGCAGTTATTGCGTTGAACAGCTCTGGTTTTCGGAATGGCACCGTCAATGGGGTTATTGTGGCCGGGTCAACGGTGCCTGCGGACACGGCCAAGTTGAATCGCATGACTTCAACATCAACTGGCTCCAGTGTGGCGCCGACCGGTTGTTGCACAACAACGAAATCCTCCTCACGCGATCGCGAGAAAGACAAGCAGCGCTTTAAGCCCAGCTGGCCGTCAGGGCAGAGTGGCAGTGACGATGAGTATCGGCGGCGCAAACGAAAATACAGTAAGTGTCCGGAAGAGTGATGAAGAATTTAATTTCAATATTTTTTTGTTTCTGTTTTTTTTTCGTTGTACAGAACGCTACCACAGATGTTCAGATCCCGTTCTGGTGTATCCGACGCCAAGTGGGTTACAACACTGCATACTTAGTATGCCATCTAATGAGCCAGCGTGAGTATCTTTGTTATTAAGAGATTATTATATTTCGTGCGCTTCAACTCGCAATTATCCACCCGATTTGTGGTCTTTCATATTTCGCTCTACATAGTTAGCCGTTGATTTATTTAAAGTAATCTATTTTAGTTCGTTGGTATTTTCAATTCTCATTTTCCTATTTTCACTTCTTTTTCGCAGTCAACTTCAGTACAATGATGATTTCGCTTTCGACATGCAAATCCCAATGGAGTCCGACAAAAACGACGACCTTGAAGAAATAGTTCCAAGCAGCCATCGCCGACATCGAAGACATCGGTAAGTCAGTATAAAAGCACAACAAACAACTTAATTTCAGGCAATAAGAATGAGCGAATTATGGGCTACAATTGATGAATGCCTTCGCTGGTTAGATTAGGATAAGAAAAATGAAGAAATGGCGTAAACAGCGATAGACAACTGAGCACAAAAGCAAAAGGTAGTGACTTAATTAATAAACTTTTCTTCAGAATATAGTAGGTGGACACAAAAATAAGGACTGTAATATCGAAAATTTTTTTAGGGAAAACATCGGTTTTTTGCATTAAAAAATATGCCCAAAATTATGTAGTACTTCAACTGTAAGAAAAATTTATGAATTGGTATATATTTTGCTTATAGCTATGACGATACATATTTTTGTGTTTGTTTCTTCAGCACAATATCTGTACATATGTATATCAAATAGGAGTACATACAGAAAAAATTTAATGATACGAGTACTGCACAATAATGCATTCTTTTCTATGGAATCAGCTCTGGTGGCGTTCGAGGAATGCACACATTGAAGAGAAATGGATAGGGTCCACAGCCAGCAAGAAGTATCGTTTCTGTTGAGTCGACTATCTATATAAATAAGAACAGCTGTAACTAAAGTCTGGCCTTTCGAAACTTCGTTTTTAGTTTTTCTCTTAAATGTCAGGATTTTTTAAAGACTTTGAAATTTCAAAGATATAATTAATTAAAAAGTTATTTTAATAAAATCACTGCAATGTAGAATATCAGTATGGATACAAATGAAAGAAAATATTCTGTAGAACTAAAAAAATTAAATACTTTTTTTTTTTTACAATGACGAATAGATATTGAAAATGCCCTTTTAATTAATATTAGTTTTTAAAGCTAATAAAGTTAGAGGTGCGAAATTTGCGGATGGGATCGTGTGTATATCAGTCCTTAAGATAAAATTTTTTCAAAAATACGTATTGCAAATTTTCAAGGATATGCAAGGATAACATTTTTAAAGGACTTTTTCAATACCTATTCGTCCGTTTGCGCCTAAAAATTTTAACTTTTTTAGCTCTACAGGATTTTCTCTTTTATACGATATTAATATTATTACTCTATACTGCACTGCGTTTTTTAAAGAATTTTTTTAATTAATCATATCTTTAAAATTTGAAAGTCTTTTTTGCAACAATCCTGACGTCAGTTAGAAAAACAAAAACGTAGTTTTATTATTTTCTGCCCCTAGTTACGCGAACTGTCGCATGGTGTTATTATATACTACTTATTCAATATGACCATCGTTAATTGGATTATGTAGCTCAATGAATAAATTCTCCACTACGAGTTCCAAGAGAATCATACGAAAAAATTTTACAGCTCAGGATTAACGGACTAACGGCCTGCGGTCATTTTCACCGGTGGCTCAAAGTTTGAACAATCAAGTCTTCTAAAGAGAATTATTTAGCTGCGAAACCCGCCCCGTGTGTGGTAATGATTCCTGGGAATCGCTACATAGATGAGGTCGTAAACGATGCTACCGTTAAAGTAATATCCGCATAGTACAAACGAACTCAAAACATTGACAGAACTTGACAAGAAACCCAATTAGTTGGCGAATAGCTAAAACTCTGAACTACTTTGATATGTAGTCCCTTTATTACTGGGGCGGTAAGGGCCATTTTTATTTTGCTACTTAAAAAGGTGCCTGGAAATGGACATCAGCGTTACATCCAAGGGCGTTCTTCATGCCATAAAAGCAACAACCCCTCTGTAAAAGCTCGTTCTGTTCACATTGTCGCAACTGCAACTACTACTTTGCCTAGCTACTGTAGCAGCTGCAACCAACTGGACTGTGTGTAATTAGGGTCGATCCAAGTACGCCTACTGCCGCCGAGATAATTTCCCTGCCGCTGACCTTCCGCCTTCACACTGCAGCAATGACCGACCATACGCACAGACTGCGAAATAACGCTACCAATTAATTCAAAACAATTCCAATGGGTGCATGTCGACTATAGGGAAGGAGCAAACGGCGAAGCGAAGGATTGCAAATGAGTGGAATACCAAGCGAAAATTGATGATTGTGGCCGTACGCCTAGGAGTTTGCGAACGCTGAAAGAGTGTGGTGGAGCAAAAAACGAAGAATAGCAATTAAGAAAACGAGTGGCGCGAGCGTAGCCGCAGATTGCTGGAATAGTGCAGGATATTTGCAATTCAGCTCGTTGCCTTTGAACGATTGCGGATGCTTACTTGCCACTTCGCAACGTCAATTTAAGAAGCGGTGCTGCAATTTTTAGTCCGATTGTGTCTCGCCGAAATCGAGCTGACGTTAAACTATGGAAGGGATTCATGGCCAAGCCAAGTGTGCGCGAGTGTGTGTGCCAGCAGTGATAGTCTCAACCATTATGGAAGGCGAAAATGCTTTTCCTATTGTTTTTCAACGCGTTCAACAAGCCCAAGCCGCAAGATGCAATAAAAAAGCAAACGTATCATTGTCTGCCGCCGCGCATCGCCATTCAACAGTTGACTGTCAGTCTATGCACTCACTGCATTCTTCCGTAACAAGCAAAGATATTTACGTACATACATACATACTAGAGTCCAGCGCAATTGTATTTGCCGCATTTCATTCAATAAGTACTCCTTGCATTGTACTCTACTCCCAACACATTGTTACTTTTTTTCCGCATACATACACTACTTGGCGTTGAGAGAGTAAATACTTGACGTACTTGCTATTACTCCACCAAAGTACGTACTCTACTTTCCCTCATCGCGTACGAGAGATATTTGCTGCTGCCAAAAGGGAGTAGCAAATCTACTCTCTGTATACTTGTAGTACGGTAAGTACTTGCGTATTAAATTT